CATTAGGGGGAAAAAAAGGGGGTGACATGATTTTCTATGCATTATCATTTGGTTGTGCTGGAGGAGTCAGGCCAAGCTGGAGCATCATTGCCCACAGGCTAGAACACATCACTGAAATAATACCCACAGGAACAGTAATTGATCATTTGCAGACCTCATGCATATCTAAACTAATAAACACAAACAGAAAGGGGCAAACACCTAGTGCATTATCTTTAGCACCTTATTGGGTGTAGCAAATGAAAATATACCCACAAGCGCAATAGGCTGAAAGCATGTAAAGAACACACAGGCACGAAATACAGACTAACGCTGTCCAGCTCCAACTGGTGAATGGATGACCAAGCCAGCTAACACGTTTCGGGGAAATGGCCCCCTTCCTCAGAGCAATGGCTCTGAGTATATTTTCATTTGCTCCACTTAATAAAGTGCTAAAGATAAGGCAATAGGCATCTGCGCCCAGTTTGTGTTTTCGGCATTGAATTTCCCCAATTTGAGGAGGGCTGCACTGCCCACGCTTCCAGTTTGGGTTGCTTGACTTCAGCACGACTCTGTAGCATAGGATGGGGGCCTCCATCACTTTCAAGTGCTGAAGTGTCAAGTTTTTTTTTTTGTATATCTCCATATCTAAAACAGAAGGAGTCAGTAAACCATTGGTGCATGTTTACATGTGTTTGAAGTGCAGACCACACTGCACAGCATAAGACAATAATCTGACCAAAAACCCCAAAACTGCAGTGGAATTTCAGAGTCCTGGGACTCCGTATGCACAGGGAGGGGGGCTCTGCAGCTAACCCTTTCGCATCCAGATGAACCGGACTGTACGGAAGTTGTGTGCACCACACAGAGAACAGCAGCTGCCATAAACACCTTCTGTAGCCTTGGAAGTATGTCTACAACATTTAGTGTTTATTTTATTACAGGTGCTTTTATAGCGCCGTCAATTTACGCAGCGCTTTACATACCGGTATATATTGTACATTCACATCAGTCCCTAATCCTCAAGGGGTGTACAATCTAAGGTCCCTAACTTACATTCATTCATACACATATACTAGGGACAATTTAGACAGGATCCAATTAACCTACCAGTATGTCTTTGGAGTGTGGGAAGAAACTGGAGTAACTGGAAAAAAACCCACACAGGCACAGGGAGAACATGTAAACTCCAGGCAGGTGGCGCCATGGTTGGGCTTCGAACCAACACCCTAGTACTGCCAGGCAGAAGTGTTAACCATTTAGCCACTGTGCTGCACTGTTGTTGCAGGCTGGATGTCAAATACAAAAGGTGCAATGCCCTCCTAAGACAAATCTTAGCACACACTTAGGAGAGGAGAAAAAAAAAATTAAAGAACAGCCCCATTTTTCATCAAGCAACCGGCACAGAAGGAACAAAAAACAGGTAAGGCTAGAGTTCTGCTTTAAAAAATAAATCTGACACAGAGGGATGGCTTCAAAGTCCAAATTCATTGCTCTAAAGGCTCGTTAACAGACCAGTCTACTTGAATTTGGAAATAAAGGAAAAACACATTTCCTCCTCTAAAATCCTTTAAGCTCCCTATATTGTACATAAAGACAGATTAACAAGGAAACATGGAGCTTTGTACTGGAGGTAATAGATATACTGGAGGTAATATATCATCAGCATGAATGTATATGCATGAAAGCAATGCTAAATTACAGTTTACTGGCAAGGAAAGGAGGAACCTGATCCAATTTATCCAGGAGTAAGAAGACAGAGTAATGGGATTACTGGTCTCCTACTCTCCATATTAATGGACGGAAATGGAGTTTAGTGAACACATTTTCCATTATATGTAAACGTGTTGGTGTGCACGGCATACCTTGAGAGATTAAAAGAACCAGCTCACATATTTTCAGTTATTAAAAGGATCAGTCCACCAAAAACTGCTATTTCATTTGACAATTTCTTATATTTCTCAGATACTCTTTGTGAGATCTCAGTGCCTAGTTCCCGAGTCTACATACCTTCTCTGCCCATGATACAGGATTTTGTGCTACCTTATGGAGATTAGGAGACCACCACCTGCCCCCTCGGCCCTGTCTTCCTCCCAGCCCGGACACCACCCCCCATTGACTTCTCCATCACATCCAACAACGCCACCATCAAACCCACCCTGCAGGCCAGAGTACTTGGTGTCATTCTGGACTCCAACCTATCCTTCCAGCCCCAAGTCCAATCTTTACCAAACTTGTGCAGGCTCCACCTCCGCAACATCGCCAAAATATACGCGTTCCTAACCCCAGAAACCACTAAACAGCTCATCCACTCCCTCATCATATCACGACTCGATTACTGCAACTCCCTCCCCGCTGGCTATCCCCGCTTCAGTCGATCCTGAATACGGGTGCCAGACTCATTCACCTCACCAACCGCTCCGTTTCTGCCACCCCCCTCTGCCAATCCCTCCGCTGGCTTCCGATTGCGCAATGGATCAAATTCAAAATCCTAACACTGACGTACAAAGCTGTCCACCATACTGCCCCGAACTACATCACTCACCTAATATCCAAGTACCACCCAGCACGCACACTCCGCTCCTCACAAGACCTCCTTCTCTCTAGTTCCCTGGTCTCCTCCTCCCATGCCCGCCTCCAGGACTTCTCCAGGGTGTCACCCATCCTCTGGAACTCCCCCTGCCCCAACCCATCAGATTATCACCTACTCTCCTCTCCTTTAGGTGCACCCTGAAAACCCATCTCTTCAGGGAAGTCTACCCCACCCCCTGCTAACTTGCCGACCTCCTCCACTCTTCCGATCACTCCATCCCCCACAGCTATCTCCTCCTGTGCCACCATCCCCTCCCTAGATTGTAAACTCGAAAGAGCAGGGCCCTCAATCCCCTCATGTTTTGCATTGTATTGGTATTGTTCTGTCACATGTTATGTCCCCCTTTGTAATGTACAGCACTGAGCAAACTATTGGCGCTTTATAAATACTGTATAATAATAATAATAATAATAATAATAATATACTATGAACAATTTAATAGAAGATGGAACACACAAAAGGTGGATAAAAACAACCAAAATGCCCAGCTTGGCAGGAAGAGAGTTGGGCATTGAGGCTATTGGAGCAACCAAGACATAACACACAGAAACGTAGAAAAGTGATGGCAGAAAAAAAAAACCAAGCAGTCCATTGAATCTGCTCTATTTTTTAAATAAAAATATAATTTTTTTTGTTGTTTTCACTTTTTCTGTCTGAATATAGATCTAGATTTGTCCCAAGCATGTCTGAACCCACCTACTGTTGATGGACTCGCCAACTTTGCTGGAAGTCTATTCCAACCATCAACTACTCTTTTGGTAAAATAGGATTATAAGATTAGTTTTGAAATGTCTGGTTGTGCAGCTCATTATTATACCCCTACTGGACAAAACGACAGCTGGCACTTGATTGTTTTTTTTTTTTTTTTACTACATGTAGCCCTTCATCTGAATCACCTACCTGCAAGGTGCATCCAAAAACCCCAATCATGAGCATTGCGATGGTTATATACTCAGCCAGGACATCCCACCATGGCTTCAGCACCTTGAATGCTGGCTGCTGCTCGGTGAATTGTTTAAATTCAGCCACGGGAATCATTGTGGCAGCAAGCTAACCTGAAAGAACAAAAAATAAATATTATTAATACAGTTGCTGATTTCTATGAAGCTTTTGTCAGTCATCCCATGTAGCCACCATTACCACGCACCCTGGATCATGTTCGCACGGCTGCCTAGCAGTACGCATGGCCCTGCAACTCCCCCCCCTATCCACTCTGTCACAAATAGTAAACTTGTTATCAGCATATTGAGCCCATAACTCTTATCTGAGAACTGCAGAATTCCCCACCCATCGCTCACCACCATAGAGTTCTGGTACAGGAGGGGTTAACAAGAGGAAGCTCCTGCAAGTTCTGCAGATGCAGAGTTGTAGCAATGATCTGCAGGGATAACAAAGCACTGTATTACATGTCCACATTTATATTGATTGCAATCTGATATTTATGAGAATTGGCACAAAACACACAGTACTCTGTAACCTCAGCATCCCTTGTAAGGATAGCCGTGTCAGATGGTCCCGCAGCATTCATCATATTGAACACGGATACATTTATTGATGGCAAGCTGTAAACAGGACTCTTGTGTAGATACAGAGCTCAGCGAATGTCCAGCCTCACAAGTGTTCCTGATCACAATGTAATGTGAGGCTGATGGTAAACCACTGACCGCGGCTGGCCTTCTCACCTGCTGCCCTCCGTACTGCAGACATTGCCAACTCTGTAGTGCACAGATCATAAAGAAACCCTGTTATGACACACATACCAGCTATGGCCAGACAAGTACAAGTTTAAAGTGTTACTAAACCCACAACAGTAAAATCAGTCTGGGTGTATCAAGCATGCTTTACTGCATATACACAGTGCAACCTAAGGGGTAAATCCTCTGCACTGTATAAAAATGCTGTTTGATCCTGTCTTCTCTGATCCTCCCCTTCTCCTAGTGTCCCAATCTCATCTCCTGAAAAGACATATTGTGTGGACACATGCTCAGTTTGGTGTGGATTGCTAGAGGGGTTTTTTTTCCCTTGGGAGAGTGCATGTGATCAGCTCAGGGCCAATCAGCACTGTCTAGAGGGTCAGGGGTTCTGCATCCTCCTAGAGCAGGGGTTTCCAAACTATGGCCCTCCAGCTGTTGAAGTACTACACGATCCATCATGCCTCTGCCTCTGGGAGTCTTGCCTGCGGCTGTCAGAGTCTTGCAAGGCCTCATGGGACTTGCAGTTCCTCAACACCTGGAGGGCCATAGTTTGGAGACCCCTGTCCTAGAGCAAAAAAAAAACACCACTCCTCCTAAAAGCTTTAACCAGTGCTCTGCTTGGCACTGATAGAAGTCACAAGACTGTTCTGACTGCTGATGAGAAAAGTTATTTAGCAGGTTATATTTACTAAAATAATTGCATTTCCATGTTTTGTGTACTGTGGGAGACCAGATATAGTGAATGCAGGGTCCGGGGAGACCAGATATAGTGAATGCAGAGTCCGGGGAGACCAGATATAGTGAATGCAGAGTCCGGGGAGACCAGATATAGTGAATGCAGAGTCCGGGCAGACCAGATATAGTGAATGCAGAGTCCGGGCAGACCAGATATAGTGAATGCAGGGTCTGGGGTTTAGAAACACTTTAAGGCAGTGGTCTACAAACTAGAGGTTGGAAGAATGGAAGAAGAAAGTTGATGAAAAACAGAGCTCCACAAGTCTTCACACCACCGAGGAAGGACAGCCTACAAACAGGGAAAGAAACAAGCTCAGCGAAAGGCCTGAAAGCAGTTTACACAAAGACCGCACTGGACACAAGGACAGTGCGAGTACCTCCACACCCCCGGGGCTACAAGAGAGGGCAGCTAGGTGCTATACCCAACCAGTTCTCCCTGGGACAGTGCTACAAGTCTGATGAGTATCCCAGAGCAAGAGATTCTAGAACAAAAGACAGCCAGGTGGATGGGCAGTTTCTAGCTGGGAGGTTCATATAGAGATGGAACCAAGTGCTCCTTACAAAGATTGCATTACTGATCCATCAAGAGACTGATGCCATTCTGAAAGGAGTACAAAGTCCAGGACCCATCCTTTTTGTACAGAATGTAGGAAGTTTGTGCTCAGAGTTATTGAAGTCAAGTTGGGCATCCCATATACCCTTAGACCCTATCCAAGTTGTTTATCCCACCAAAGCAACAAAAACAAGCCCATGGACTGGTTACTAACTCTGAATGGACGTTGGAAAATGTGTTGCCTGGCTATTCAGGAAATAGGGGCCACAAAACCAACGTTTCTCAAGGGGGAGCGCTATATACATACTGCAGTAACATCCACACACATAAGACACCTGACATTAGAGGTGATTGATACTTTCAAAGCAAATATGCTTTTGCTCTCACTGGTACCAACTAGTATTCCAGCATGTCCTCTTTCATTTTCTTTTCCCCACGCAGCTAGGTGTGACCCCATTGCTGACGGGGGGGGGGGGCAGCTTGATGCCCTCCTTATCAACCAATGACAACAGCGATTGTTAGGATGCTGGCAGCTGACCTGCACGGTGCCCAAAGTTGTAATGTTGTGTAACAAAACCGCTGGCTTGTACATCATTTTTGGACAATTTTTAGGCATTTTGCCAAGGTACCTCTGAAGAACTCAGATGCCACCTCAGGGTGCCTAGGGACCCTGGTTGAAAAAGGCTGCCCTATGTGATGCATTTTTGGTGACAGGTTCTCACCTTCCTTCCAGTTTAAACCAATGGAGTGCAGATTGAACTTTGGGGATGGCAGTAACAGGGGTGTGTGGAATCTGGCGGCTGCAAAGCCACTGGATCATTTCCATCTAGCAGCTAGCTTGTCAGATTTGCACACACCTGAAGCTGCTAGGAGTGTAAAACCCTGCATGAAGCCAATACTATAGTTTCTATAGCAGTGGCAGTAAGTTTTCTGAACCACCAGGAAAAAACAAACAAACACCACCACACCACTGTACCCTTGCACTCCAAGGAGCGCCAACTGCTCATTTTGCTAGGGGAGGATTAATAAAATGTCTGCCTTTGTTCATATGCATTATGTAGTGGGTTGATGGGGTTAGTAGTTCACAGAGGAACGATATGGATGTTTGTGCTTTTTTATTTTCTCACAGGAAGTGACACGCAATTTCCAGCAACATCAACACTTATTTTCTGTAATTGCTGAAAAAGTTCTTAGCCTGAAAAAAGACAAACTACAGGTGAAACTCGAAAAATTTGAATATTGTGTAAAAGTTCATTTATTTCAGTTATGCAACTTAAAAGGTGAAACGAATATATGAGATAGACTCATTACATGCAAAGCAAGATAGTTCAAGCCGTGATTTGTCATAATTGTGACGATTATGGCTTACAGCTCATGAAAACCCCAAAAATCCACAATCTCAGAAAATTAGAATATTACATGCAATCAATAAAACAAGGATTGTACATAGAACAATATCGGACCTCTGAAAAGTATAAGCATGCATATGTACTCAGTACTTGGTTTGGGCCCCTTTTGCAGCAAATACTGCCTCAATGTGGCGTGGCATGGAAGCTATCAGCCTGTGGCACTGCTGAGGTGTTATGGAAGACCAGGATGCTTCAATAGCTGCCTTCAGCTCTTCTGCATTGTTCGGTCTCATGTCTCTCATCTTTCCCTTGGCATTGCCCCATAGATTCTCTATGGGGTTCAGGTCAGGTGAGTTTGCTGGCCAATCAAGCACAGTAATCCCACGGTCATTGAACCAGGTTTTGGTGCCTTTGGCAGTGTGGGCAGGTGCCAAGTCCTGCTGGAAAATGAAGTCAGCATCCCCATAAAGCTCGTCTGTGGAAGGAAGCATGAAGTGCTCCATAATCTCCTGGTAGATGGCTGCGCTGACCCTGGACTTAATGAAGCACAGTGGACCAACACCAGCAGATGACATGGCTCCCCAAATCAACACAGACTGTGGAAACTTCACACTGGACTTCAAGCATCTTGCAGTGTGTGCCCCTCCATTCTTCCTCCATACTCTGGGTCCTTGGGTTTCAAATGAGATGCAAAAGTTGCTCTCATCAGAAAAGAGGACTTTGGACCACTGAGCAACAGACCAGGTCTGTTTTTCCTTAGCCCAGGTAAGACACTTCTGACGTTGTTTGTTGTTCAGGAGCGGCTTGACAAGAGGAATACGACATTTGAAGCCCATGTCCAGGATCCGTCTGTGTGTGGTGGCTCTTGATGCACTAACTCCAGCCTCAGTCCACTCCTTGTGAAAGTCCCCAACACTTTTGAATGGCCTTTTCCTGACAATCCTCTCCAGGCTGTGGTCATCCCTCCTGCTTGTGCACCTTTTTCTTCCACACTTTTCCCTTCCACATAACTTTCTATTAATGTGCTTTGATACAGCACTTTGGGAATATCCAACTTCTTTTGCGATTACCTTTTGAGGCTTTCCCTCCTTATGGAGGGTGTCAATGATGGTTTTCTGCACAACTGTCAGGTCAGCAGTCTTTCGCATGATTGTGATTCCTACTGAACCAGACAGAGACCATTTAAAGGGTCAGGAACCCTTTGCAGGTGTTATGGCTTAATTAGCTGATTAGAGTGGGACACTTTGAGCCGAGAATATTGCACCTTTTCACAATATTCTCATTTTCTGAGATTGTGGATTTGGGGTTTTCATGAGCTGTAAGCCATAATCATCACAATTATGACAAATCACGGCTTGCTTTGCATGTAATGAGTATCTCATATATTAGTTTCACCTTTTAAGTTGCATTACTGAAATAAATGAACTTTTGCACGACATTCTAATTTTTCGAGTTTCACCTGTAATGCAGCCACCACACTGAAGGATTGCCAAGCTGCAATATATTACAGTATATTTGTGGTTTTCAGTTTAGATACACTATCAAATCCTCTGCGTACTTCCTCACAGATCACCGCTGCACTTCACTTGCCACACAGAAAATGTCATCTCCTCCCTCCATTGTTTTCCAACTGTCAATGTTCTCCTAGGCAGTAAGGAAGCATCTCGCAGTGAGATTCCTATGCACCTGGGGGCTCAGGCACATGGATGTATTAAAGCTGGCCATAGATGGATAGAACTTTGAATGAAAAACTCAAAGGAAAATTTGTACAAAACAATTCTCAGAACATTTTAATGTCATTCAAAAGATTATTTATCATTTGATTTTGGCACAAATGGACTTTACCAAAACCACATACATTGGAAGTTCACTCGTTCAAAAAAAAATTTTCTCCTGCTCCTTCAAATTTCACTGTGAATTGACCCAACTGATGGTTACAAAAACTAATGAACTTTGTTAGAACATGAAATTCTACCTGGATGAAATTCAAGATGGATGCCAGCTCATGGAGATGCACAAGCTCTGAAGAAAGAGCGGCCCCCTTTCTTCCATGTGTGGAAAACACTACCAGGTGGCGAGAGGCTTTTGTGACCAGATCTGACCAGATCCATATGAGGACCCTGGAATTATCAGCTTTAAATGCGCACTTGAATTGCGTATCTGGTGAGTGCGCAATTCTTATCTTTATCACCTCATCCACGAATCCAGGGATTGGAGCTCTTTAAGGACTCTCTTGGATTTTTGAGCACGCTACGGACTATATTTGTCATTTAGTCACCGTTTTGCACTTTAATAGCACTTTATATCAGTGTATATTTATTAAGTATATAAGTGTATATCTGTTCAGCTAGCGCTGCACCTCTCCCTCGTATGCATTTCTTATTATGAAGGTTTATATGGTACCTTTTGGTGTTCAGCTGCTTTCTTCTTATTTATTCATTTTATTCACTAATTGATTTTATTAGTTGTTTGAAGCGCTCACTTATTCTGAGATTTACTATGAAATTCTACCTGTCTATGGGCAGCTTAAAGCGGTTGTAAAGGCTGAAGATTTTTTACCTTCATGTATTCTGCGCATGAAGGTAAAAAACTGTGTGCAGCAGTTCCCACAGCCCCCTCAATACTTACCTGAGCCTCATCGCGATCCAGCGATGTGAATGACAGTCTTGGCTGTACTGGGTCTCTGCCTCCTTATTGGCTGAGACAGCAAGTGGGAGCCATTGGCTCCCACTGCTGTCAATCACAGACAGTCAGCCAATGAGAAGAGAGGGCAGGGCCAAGCCGCGGCTGTGTGTGTGAATTGACACACAGAGCAGAGGGTGCCCCCATAGCAAGCTGCTTGCTGTGGGGGCACCTGACAGACAGGAGGAGCCAGGAGAGCCTGCAGGGGACCAGAGAAGAAGAGGATCCAGACTGCTCTGTGCAAAACCACTGCACACAACAGGTAAGCATAGACATGTTTGTCATTTTACAAAAAAATAAAATATATGAACCTTTAGAAGAATTCACTTTAAGTTCTACAATGGAAACTAGATCCTGAGTTTAAGTAGTCCAAACCCTGTAAACTAGAGTTGGGCTTGATGTTCGAGCCAAAACGCAAGTTCGACTCGAACATCAACTGTTCGTGTGTTCAGCGAACACATGAATGCTACGGGTTATTCGCCCACTGCGCCCTGACAGTGCATTGTGATTGGCCAAAGCAATGCACCCGACCACAGATCAGGTGCAATGCTTTAAACAAATAGCGCATGATGATGTCACAAGGGGACGGGCTCTCCTGGTTGATGTTACTGGGTACCCCGCCTCTTAGATATTTAGGAACGGTAAGGCCAGTGCAGCTGTCAGGCAGTGGGAGCCAGCATTGAGAGCAGAGTAGGGTTTGTTTTTTTTTCTTTATTCAGGTCAGCGGACAATTTTTTATTTTTGGTTTTTAATAAAGGACTTGTCAAGGACCGTCTTCTGTCAT